CTGTGCCCCACGGCTGTCACAGACCACCTGCGACCCCGAATGAGCCATGTACGCTTTTTACACCTCTGCTTCTTTACGGTAATCACAATGCTGAGCTACAATGGTATCAAGGCCCTCATTTTAATAATCTACATTTCTCATCAACAATTGCCACCCACTACATATAAACAGCATCACCTTTAAAAGGAAGCTTCTGTCTCGTGCCGTTTGACTTTGCAAGGAGTAACATGTCGACACACTGAAAACTTGTTACTCCTTACTTCAGCTTTCCAGTTCAATATCTATGCCAATAAACAACAAAGCTACGCATGTGTGCAATTCTGATTTAATCATTTTCCTCCAACGCTTCTCATTGGAGTCATCCATAGAAGTGCATTTCATTTCTTCTGCATGTAATGGTGATAGTTTCTATGGATTTACTGTATTTCACTATGTTAAATTATATTAAATCAATTGTTTTGAAATCACAAAGTTAAAATTCACTTCTAATATGTCAAATGTAAGGGTAAGTAATCTTTATGATGAGGATTCATCAATTGTACCTTTTCAATCACACTTTTTCTACTATGGCTAGAGAAATTTACCAGGAAAGGCTATTAAGATTATTGTCTAGTGATTGGATCAACCAGATCATATTGGATCTTCCTAGTAGGCATGTGTTATTTTTAGAAGCACTACACAACTCAAGAGCTTACTATAAAGTAGAATAATTATTGTTTCCAGTTTATATTCAATCTAATGAAAATTACTTTCACAGATAACCTCAGCAATACCAAATGCTAGGAAATGCCCGTGAATGTTTGTATCACCAAGAAAACTATTTCAATAAAGCCTGAGCATTTCTACTTAAATTAACAAGAATGTACACTAAATTAAACTTACAACCAAAAGAATTTTATTTATTTTGCTAATGTCCATTTTTAATAAAACAAAACATTCTCTATCACTTTGTGAATTCATACTCTGCTTGAGTAATAAATGAAATCTAAACATTCTAATATAGATCAAAGCAGGTAATTAGAACTCAAATAATACACACCACTAGTACAATTATTATGATCCCTGTTTTTTGAAGAGGGGCTCCCTGAATAAGGAGAAATCAGTGATATTCAAAAACATGATCCTGAGCTAATCCAATTTTCTTTTTGATGCCTTAAGGTCTGAAATTACCTAATTTTACATTTAATATGCAGGAAAATAGACCATTAAAAGCACATATTCACTTAATAAACACTTACTAGATCTATATGTTTTGCAAAAATCATCTTAGTCAAAGGAATTCAAAGTTTGGGGGGGGTTAGCAAACTAAGAATAAATAAGAACATATCAATTACGTACTTCACATACTGAAAATTTTTCACTTTCTAACACCCTAAACCAGGCGACCTCAAGCTACAG